GTCCGTCCCGCCCTTCGCCGTCCCGCAGCCCAGCTTGCGCCTCGCCTTGCCATGCCATGCCATGCCACGCTTTGCCATGCCGCGCCGCGCGTCTTGCTTTAACTCTCCGCTGCCTCTCCTCTTCCCTGTACTCGCTCTTCTACGCTACCTATCGTCCCTTCCTGACCCCCTCCTCCTCCCGACGTCGTCGTCGTCGTCGTCGTCGTCGTCTTCCTTTCGACCCTCGGTCTTCGCGCTGTCGAACCGCGCTTCTCTCGTTCTTTACCCCCTCGGCGCCCTTATCCACCGAAACCCCTCTTCGGTCCACGACCCTTTCGGCTTCGCTCAACCGTTCTTCGTCGACGTCTACCGACGTAGCCGTCGGTGTTCTTCGTCGACGTGCGGCCATCCACGTCGTTATCGATAAATATCGAATCGATATCGATAACGTCGTTAAGATATCGTCGCTGGAAGTAAGACGACAAAAGGCGAATCGGGAGGGAAAAATGGTTTCGCTTAATAAATATATTTATTTGTCTAACGGGATGTTTCTCAACTTTAAAACGAGTCTTTCCCAGTCGCGTCGCTCTCGAAATAGACGCGCGATACATCTTGGCGATATTTAGCGAGTTATCGGTAAGATATCGATAATCGATAGTCGCACCTCCGAGTCCTTGGTCGTTGCGGACGTGACGCGGACGAAGCAATTTGTCCGAAAGTTTCGGCGAGCGGTAGGTGCTTTGTTCTGGTGCGCGCGCGCGCTTGCTCTTTCTTCGCAGCGGGCACCCGAATACAGCGTCGCGTCTCCGCGTCCGCGTCGAGGCTCGCTGTCCGAGTTTCCGGTCGGCCGATCGTTCGCGAAGAGGGAACGTGGCCAAGCGAGAGAGCCGGTCGTCGTGAAATTTACGACCGAGGCGATTCTTTCTCGCCCGTGTTCCGAACGCTCGTTTAATTTCCCGCGATTCTAGAGTCTCGCTCTTTTGGCCCTCGACATTTTTCCCAGACTACTCTTTCCGCTGAAATATAGAGGGTTAGAGAGAGAGAGAGGAGAGATTGAACTCGTGGCAAACCCCTTAAATCCGACCCTCCTCCTACCGTAGCGGCGCGACCCCTAGGGAAGAGCCGGATTTACGAGCGCGGCCTAAAATCCGTACGCGAACGGCGAAGTTACGGAGCCGCGGAATAAGGAACGTCGCGGGTAATTCGCGGATAAATTTACCGCGTACCTTTGGGCGGCGCGTTTGTCGTCGTAAATACGACCGGATACCGGCGCGACCGGCACCTACGTTGATTTCTTTTTCGCGTCGGAGCGAACGAGTCGCCCTACCCTGCCGATAATTATCGCGTGCGCGCGACCGCGACTGCCTGGACACGTACGCGACCGTCAGCGTCTTCCAATGCCGCTTTTGGCCTTCTCGGAGTCACATTTTATCGAGAATGCGTCGCCTTTACGAGCGTACAGGCGATATAGCACGCTACTACGAAACTTATCGATTTGTCATGTACGGCGAAACAACGCGCGGCGATTATGCTCGCGGAGAGGCGATATAACGCTTCGTTATAGAACGCGGGGCGATATAAAGCGCGGTAAACACACGGCTACTATATATAACCAGCGCTCGCGGCAGCCACGTCGATTTCTTTTTAGCGTCGGAGCGAACGAGTCGGCCAACCCTGCCGATAATTATCGCGTGCGCGCTCGCGCGTCTCCTCGAACACGTACGCTCGCGTCCGCGTCTTCGAACGCCAGTTTTGGCCTTCTCGGAGTCCCACTTTGCCGGGAACGACGACGACGGCGTTGATGACGTTGTACGTATTACCTGCGCTCGGCTCACGGAATGCCTCGAATGCTAGGAATTTTTTCGCTCGTTCCAGAAATAATCGTGCCCCGAAATATCGGGCTTACCGTGCGTAGTCGAAAGGGGGATTCCGCGAGGGAAAAAAATGCGTTCAGCTTTTATAAAAGCCGTAGAGAAACCGTGTTCGAATCGTTCGACAGCGGGGATCGATCAAAGTCGAAACGCGGCGTCGATGACGACGATGGCGCGAAAGGCGAAGGAGAAAAAGCGTCGATTCGACGCTGGGGAAGCAACGTCCAATTTTTATGCATCCGCGTCTCTATACGGGTATTTACGCGGACAGAGAATACGGATCGAGGCATTTTTTATTCGAACAAATGGGATAAATAATTACTTCGAGATCAGAAATTCAAGATTCCTTTACGCTTCTATCGTTTATATTAGGGCTTCATAATTTCTTCGACGACATTCAAGTTTTTCTATGAAAAGGACTTTTTTTAAGAAAGGAATCTATTGCCTTTACGTTAGAAAATGATGGAAGTTATTTTGTTGATTAGCATGTAAGATTTCTTTAATAAATAAATGTTTCTTGCCAGCAAAATTTTGATTACTTTTCTAACAGATCAGGTTAGGCTAGTTTCGATAAGGTTTTACCGTTGGAATCTGCAAACTGCCACATCGAATTATGAATAACGTATCGATAGTTCGGAGTTGGCGAAATTAATCCAGGCCATTTTCTCCGGACTCATCCGGTACGCTCGTGTCTTTTTCGCGGAACGATCGCGACCGTTACGTCCGAGACGGCTCGCGTCACGTAGCGAGAACCCATACACGGACACGCGAGCGAGTTGGCTCGCGCGTAAAACGCGAACGCGTATACAGCGTCTCTCTCGGTGTACGGTCTCCATCCTCGTTCGTTCGCCGCATGAACGCGCGCGCACATCCTTCCGCGAAAGGCTGCGAGCCGCGAGGGAAGCAGGTGAAAATTAATTGTACGGGTTACCGGCTCGAGTGCCGAAGGAGCACACGGTCTTGCTTCGTCTTGTCGGTGCGCGGCGCGCAAAGTGCGCCTCGCCGCGTACCAGAGAGGACGTGTCGATCGATTTTGCCCTCCTCCACCTCCTCCTCTTTGCTCCTCTCCTCTCTCCTTTCTCTTTCACGCCTTCGTCCTTTCCCCCTTTGCGCGACTCTC